TACATCCCCATACATAACTATACCCCTACAAATCACCATACATCCCTAGATATCACCATACACCCCCATACATCACCATGCTCCCTATACATCACCATACATCCATATACCTCACCGTACACCCCATACACCGCTATACATCACCATACACCCCCATACATAACCATACACCCCTATACAGCACCATACACCCACATACAACACCATATATTCCTATACATCTCCATACACCACTATACATCACCATACACCCCTCACCACCATACACCTCCATACATAACCATACACCTTATACACCCTTATACATCACCATACATCCCTATACATTTCCCATACACTACTATACATCATCATACACCCTACACATCACTATACATCCCTACACATCACCATACATCCCTATACATCACCATACACCCTTATACATCACCATACACCTCTATATATCACCATACATCCCTATACATCACCATACACCCTCATACATAACCATACACCCCTATACATCACCATACACCCCTATACATCTCCATATACCTCCATACATAACCATACACCCTGATACATCACCATACATCCCTATACATTCCCATACACTACTATACATCACCATACACCCCTACACATCACCATACATCCCTATACATCACCATACACCCCTATACATCACCATACACCCGTATACATCACCATACATCCCTATACATTACCATACACCTCCATACATAACCATACACCCTTATTCATCACCATACATCCCTATACATCACCATACACCATACATAACCATACACCCCAATACATCACCATACTCCCCTATACATAACCATACCTCCATACATAACCATACACCCTATACATCACCATACACCTCTTTACGCGAAGTTCTTGGAAGGATTAACGTATGGGTTTTGAATAACAGTATCTATTCCCGGGGGGTGGGGGTACTCTCATATATGGGCTATATAGGTACGTGCCGCGCAATAGGTATGGTTTTTGAAGTTCTCAGTCCTTAAATAAGGTATCTTTCTTGACCCTTTTGTTTCTGTGTCCCTGGTGTGGTCCTTAGATAGGGTAGGTTAATTGCATTATCTAATACTGGGTGGGAAAATGCGCGCCTAAACGAACGGTTTTGATTTTTGCAACAGAGGTTTAATAGACGTTAAGCGGGTAAATACGTAACGCCTCTTCAAGCCACATGTTTGTTTTTCCTTGAATAGGGTGTAATTTTTTCGGCTTTGGGCCTTAAAAGGGTACCAGTTTTTCTTAGCTTTTTATTGGATAATACCCGACCCGCGATGCCAAACAAAAACAAAAAATGAACAAAAAAAAATGCTCACACTTTACTAAGGTATATTGAATGTACTTCCTGACTTTCATGGACATGCATTAAACGGCTTAATTTGGTAGGTCACATGAACTATGGCTCGTGGAGTAATATAACTAAGTAAAACGTTGCGAAATAAATTGCACAAGCTTTGTAGCACTTTGATCCCGGCTGAACCGTATATTACCAAGATCGATGCCACCCAGCGACAGTTAGATGTTCGACATCAAGGGGACATAATGAGAAATTTAATCATTGTTTCTTGCTTATTCTTTGTTTTGGGATTTAAAACAATCATCTGTGTTCTTCTTGGAAAAGAAGCCCGACAATATCTGCGGGATGTCTTAGAGAGTTTGAGTGTACACCGCAAAATGGAAGGTTTGATCAAATTGTTGAAGGGCCACACGCTATGTCAAAATTAATACCAAAATTATTTATCTGGTGTCCAATAAGACATTACGGTTTGACTATTTTATGTCCTATTCATGGCTGTCCTCTGAAAGTCGGACAGTGGACCGATCTTCCTGACTCCTCAACACAAGTCCAAGAAACCCAAGATTGATTTACGACTTGAACGGAAATGTTATTCTGGTGCAGGCGTTCTATGAATGCAGTGAAAGTTTGCCAGAAAACGTGATGATTGGACATCGGTATTTGTCCGCATCAAACGATGTGTTAGGCGCTCTCCTGAAAGTGTTGTTAAAGGGATTTCCTCTTATAATGCAGCAGAGAAGCGGTTTTACGCTGCGTCTTTATGATTATTTAATAACTGGTATTTATCAAGGACAAAACTTCATGGAATTATCTGAAGGCATTGCATCAATGAATTACAGACAGTACATGCGTAATAAACCGGACAGCAAAGAGTTATCTGTAAAGGGGTTTGAGAGTATTCCTTTCATTGCCTATCCAAGCAACGATAAACTAATGGATTTGTTTCTCATGCAGTTTGAGCGGAACAAAAACGTTATGAGAATAACATGCAGAAACACACAGGGGAGATTCTGTCCTGTGACCACACCTTTAGAACGAGTAAACATATCAGGGTAACCCGCGAGGACGGCAAGTTTGTAGGCCAGTTTAAAAACGTCTTCTTGGGGTGAACGAAAACGGAGAAGTTATGATATGGAAGTTTACGAAGACGACTTCTTCGTCCGAAATTATCGACTCATAAAAGAACTGAAGAGAGGCTTGATAAGGCAAGCACTAACTTAAAAAATGATAATAGTGGATGACTGTTGCCACGTGATGCACCTATATGGACAAATATTCCGGGGATAAAGGTTCGGCTAGACTTATTTCACGCGTGTATGAGAGTTGTACAAACGGTACCCAAAAGCGAAGATTACAGTAAACAATTTGCTAATAAATTTTCTTTAATTTTCCGTCAAAATGGAGACCTTGGTAACGAGAGAACAATGAGCACACCTTGCCCTGATGAAATAGAATCAAATCTTGAACGTCTTCTATTTGTTTGGAGAGAAAAGCTGAAAACGGGAAACCCATCTTCAAATTGAAAATTTGCGCAAGCATATAAAAAAGGATGTCTCTCGGAAATACCTGTTGGATGTGGGACTGAAATAAATGAGCGACTTCACAGACATCTTAACCGATCATTACTGTGCGGAGTATCAAAATTGGACCTGAGTTGGCGGTAGCGGTAATGGCGTGTGCTTTGTATGCATGGAATTGCAAACGAAGATTAAAACAACCCTCAATAAGAGAACAATTCCGATCACGCCAATTGAATTAGAGCCTTTAGAGTCTTTAAACCAAGCGACCCCTTATCTTCAGTCTCACATGACGGCTGTGGATTCTACGTCAAAGTCATTACCGGGTTCAATATCTGGAACTGTCTCTGAAAATAGCAGTAAGGCTAGTAGAATGCCAGGGACATCATCCGTTTTCGTCACAGTTAAGACTGTGGAAGAACTGGAAAACGATTCCGTCTTGAACTACATTTTGGAACTAGCGCTGCACATACAAGAATTTATCACCAGCTGGACAACAAAATGTAACAACAAAACAATAGATTTGATTGGTCTTCTCTGGAAGATAAACTTACCGGCAGCTAACCTTTATGAACAGGAGTCAAAGTTAAACGTTAAGGAATTAAATTTGACCCCCAGCACAAAAATAACCTGTTAAGAAATCTCACAGGATTTAATCTTCAGTTGGACCCAATTAACAAAAGACGGAAACTGCTTCTTCAGAGCAACAGCCCGGCAGCTACAAAAACACTTGCAACGTTCGGATTTGCAAAATCTACAGCATATTTCCTCACTGGGGCTTGGAATCAACGAGGAACGCGACACGGAAAACCTCAGACTACTTTTCGTGCGTGAAGTCACTGAAAATCTCGATGAATACAGGGTGGATGTCCTGTTCGTCAAATGTACAGGAAATTGAACGTTTTAAAACTGATGGCCATTTCGCAAGTGACATTGGCGACATCTGTGGTAAGGCATGTGCTAATCTCCTCCGTGTCCCGATAATTGTAATTACAGCTTTGCCTAATGTCCCATCCATTCCATTTTTACCAAAACATTTCATCACTGCTGTACCTATGTATCTGGCGTACGACCATTCAGGTCAGGGCATTATGACGCTACAAAAGGTAAATAAGGCATTAAGACGGAATCCACCAGGAAATTGAGTAATTTAAATTTTCATTGTACAAAAATACCAGAATAATTCAAACAACATCGCATTCTTTTTATATTTTTTCAAGGGCTATGGATGCATTGGTTATCTGTAACACCAAAGAATGTGAAAGAAAATGTCTCATGAGAGCCAGAGAAAATAAATGTCAAATTTCACAAAATGACACCTTACACGTGAAATTTTCAGAACTTTACCTGTGTTTTCACAATTCTCGTGAAATTTGACATTTATTTTCTCAGGCTCCCCATCAGAAAATAGTCTTTGGTGTCATTACAGATAACTGTTTTATATCCATAGCCCTTGAAAATGTGAAAAAAAATGCGATATTATTTAAATTGTTCTGGTACAAGGTTTTTGTCCACTGAAAATCAAAATTACTCAATTTCCCGATGGATTCCGTCTTAAGCCTAGTTTAAGTGTAGCACGTTTGCTTGGATGATTTTGTTATTGGCATTTGTACGTTTTCCTGCCCGTGTATGTTTATAAAGGTCTTCTAAATAAGCAAATAAATATATAAAGAAATAAATAACGATTTAGAGGTAGCACATCCACAAAGTGGTTCTTCTTCTACCTGATTCCTGATCGAATTGGGATTTGGAAATGCTACCGGCAAAAAAAAACTCTCGGAGCAAAAGGAGGAAGAACAACAAACTCAACCACATATGGCGTCGACGCCGGGATTTAAAACCGGGCCACACTGGTGGGAGGCGAGCGCTTTCACTACTGCGAGCTACTGCGCCATCCCATGCTCTCCGAACTCGTTATTACCTATTGGATTGGCAATCACTCAATCATAAATATCAAAGAAGATACTCTCTTATTTACAGATGAAGAAAAAAAACGAGTATCTATCATTTGAAACGTGGATATCTTAAAAATCAACTAGTCCATAGGATAATAATAATTGTAATAATAATAATTAATCATGATGATGATGATGATGATGATGATAACAACGAGGGTTACCATTCCTTTGAGAGGTTTTACTTACACTGTATTTTTCTCTGGTATGTTTCCAGAATTTCTGAATTCGAATGATGAAACGGAAGGAAATGACACTAAAACCAGATGTACCTGTGGCAAGAATGTTAAAGACCCTTCAAAATGGCTTGCACATCTTCTAAAACGTCCTTGTAACAGAAAAAGTCAAGCGTGCTCAAGAAAATGTCGCTGCTTCAATTGTAAGAACAAAAATAATGCTGCCTTTGAGGGAGAGAGGCAATTAGGCGAAACACGCAAACGCAAACGCGGATGTACATGTGGTAATACCTTAAACAAAGAAGATAAAGGTCGTGTATCGTGCAGAGATGGAAAAAGAAAAAGAAAATGTCCATGCGTTGCCGAAGGACTCGGGTGTACCGAGTCATGCAAATGTTACAACTGTGGAAATATCTTTCAAATTGGCGGTGTTTCCGCTTCACCAGGCACAGGAAGAAAGAGAAGGAGAGCTACCATTTCAACCTACAAGAGACAACGAGGGAAAGAGTTTATGGAAAGACAGAAAGCTCCAGTGACCTCGGGACCTTGGAGACTGCTAGAAACATTGTGTCTAGTAGTTTGTAAAGAAATTCTCTTCATTAGAGAGCTTCCAAGAAATTCATCAAACTTTTCAACGCTGTACAACTTTGTTGCAGAATCGGACAAGGTTAAGGAAATGTCTTTAACGATTGAACGAAAAAGTACAGCTCAAGTAGCGGCAAAAATCGCACATTTGTCAGAACATAGTCATTGTTGAGCTTTTGAACAAGAAAAAGGAACAGGGTTACAAATTTAACCTCGGGTCAGAGATCATAGGCGAATTGAGGGAAAGGTGCACTGCATGTTTAAAAAAATGTAAATGAGTGTATAATCAGGTTTAAAAAATTTGTGAAGCCGAGAGGTTTTACACCTGGTAATACACAATTGCGAGTTGCGAGTTGTTTTGAATGGCTTCAAATTCTCCGCTAATTTTATAGATGAACTCATTTTTGCACAAATATATTTAGATTTGTGGTTATTATGGCCTAACAATTGAACGTAAAGGTTAGCCGTTTTTTTTTTTTATCAGACATAAAGACACTCATTTTACAAACAAAAATTTCTTTGTTTTGTTTTGTTTTTAATGAATTATTAATGAATGTCTGAAGTTTATTTATGCTTTTGTTGATTATATACTGTGAAAGAGCTTGGCCTAGGAGATAACAATCAACCAATCAGACTGCCCAAAAACACCAAGCCTGAGTGGATATATACTAAATAAATTTTAGTTACCGACAATAATTGCAATGTATTTAGCAAATATACCTATCTGCTATTTGTGAATTAGATTTTCAGTGAAAAGCTCAACAGAGTATGGTATCTCCATCCAGTACATATAATAATTCAATATCGTTTTTTATTGATGAACTTGAAATTTGAAGGTCATATAACAATAATGAAAATAAAAAAATAGCTATACCACCACGGGGGCAACCATGCTATGCAGGCACACCACTAGTGGCGAGCTTTGACAAGAATTAATGCTATATATGCTTTGCTGAATGTAAGGCATCTAGAAATAAAATGGGACAATGACACACATAAAAGTACTATATAGGGTTGTATGGTGATGTATAAAGACACGTATGGGAATTTATAGGGGTGTATGGGGACGTAGAGGGGTGTATGGGGATGTATAGGGATGTATGGTGTTGTATAGGGGTGTATGGTGATATATAGGGGTGTTGGGGAATATATTGGGTGTATGGGGATGTATAGGGATGTATGGTGTTGTATAGGGGTGTATGGTGATGTATAGGGGTGTATGGGAATGTATAGGGGTGTATGGGGATGTATATGAGTATATAGTGTTGTATAGGGGTATATGGCGATGTAAAGGGGTGTATGGTGATTTATGGGGGTGTATGGTGTTGTATATGGGTATATGGTGATGTGCTGGGGTGTATGGTGATGTATAGGAGTACATGGTGTTGTATATGGGTATATGGTGTTGTATAGGGGTATATGGCGATGTACAGGGGTGTATGGTGATGTATAGGGGTGTATGGTGATGTATAGGAGTATATGGTGTTGTATATGGGTATATGGTGTTGTATAGGGGTGTATGGTGATGTATAGGGATATATGGTGATGTATAGGGATGTATGGTGATGTGCTGGGGTGTATGGTGATGTATAGGAGTACATGGTGTTGTATATGGGTATATGGTGTTGTATAGGGGTATATGGTGTTGTATAGGGGTATATGGCGATGTATAGGGGTGTGTGGTGATGTATAGGGGTGTATGGTGATGTATAGGGATATATGGTGATGTGCTGGGGTGTATGTTGATGTATAGGAGTACATGGTGTTGTATATGGGTATATGGTGTTGTATAGGGGTATATGGCGATGTAAAGGGGTGTATGGTGATGTATGGGGGTATATGGTGTTGTATATGGGTATATGGCGATGTATAGGGGTGTATGGTGTTGTATAGGGGTATATGGTGTTGTATAGGGGTATATGGTGTTGTATATGGGTATATGGTGTTGTATATGGGTATATGGTGTTGTATAGGGGTATATGGCGATGTAAAGGGGTGTATGGTGATGTATGGGGGTATATGGTGTTGTATATGGGTATATGGTGTTGTATAGGGGTATATGGTGTTGTATAGGGGTGTATAGTGTTGTATATTGGTATATGGTGTTGTATAGGGGTATATGGTGTTGTATATGGGTATATGGTGTTGTATAGGGGTATATGGCGATGTAAAGGGGTGTATGGTGATGTATAGGGGTGTATGTTGTATAGGGGTATATGGCGATGTAAAGGGGTGTATGGTGATGTATGGGGGTGTATGGTGTTGTTTATGGGTATATGGTGTTGTATAGGGTATATAATTAATAAGGGGGTTATATAAAGGGTATATAATTGTTGTATAGGGGTATAAAGGGGTATATGGTGTTGTATGGGGTATATAAGGGGTATATGGTGTTGTATGGGGTATATAGGGGTATATGGCGTTGTATATAGGGGTATATAGGGGTATATGGTGTTGTATAAGGAGTATAGGGATATATGGTATTGTATAAGGGGTATATAAAGGGGCATATAGTGTTGTATAGGGGTATATATAGTGTGTAATAAAGGGTATATAGGGGTATATAATGGTTTATATAGGGGTATATAAGGGGTATATGGTGTTGTATAGGGTATATAAGGGGTATATGGTGTTGTATGGGGTATATAGGGGGTATATAGCGTTGTATAGGGGTATATAAAAATTATATAGTATTTGTATAAAGGGTATATAAGGGATATATATGGTATTGTATAGGGGTATATAGGGGCATATAGTGTTGTATAGGGGTATATGGTGTGTAATAGGGGTATATAGGTGTATATGGTGTTGTATAGGGGTATATAGGGGTATATGGTGTTGTATAGGGGTATATAGGGGTATATGGTGTTGTATAGGGGTATATAGGGATATATGGTATTGTATAGGGGTATATAGGGGCATATAGTGTTGTATAGGGGTATATGGTGTGTAATAGGGGTATATTTAACAATTATTCCACGAGGGCGCGTTGGATATGAGATGATAGATAGCCAACGAGGCGCATAGCGCCGAGTTGGCTATAATCATTTCATATCCAACAAGCCCGAGTGGAATAATTGTTTTATTAAAAACGCCCACAAAATCTCTTTGAATCGCCCCGACTAGAACAAACCGGAAAAGACAAGGGACTTCCGCTATTCACATGTCACACGTCTATCAAAACTGTCAACGCGCGAACGAGCTCGCCTAGACTGCATGAATGAAAAATCAAAACATTGTAGCGATGAACATTAGTTTTTTAAAAACTCATCGTGATTCTAGGATTTTACACCGCAGAACAGCTTAAAAAACCTGGCAGATAATGTGAAGGAAAGGAATTTTTAGGTGACAGCCGTCGAAATTACTATGAATTTGGATTTTCGGTGCAGTTATAAAAGTAAGAACAACGGAGAAAAACTACCGGTATTACCTCTGTCGCTTGTTATGAAGGTGTTTGAAGCCGCAAGCTGGTTTTGCTGAACGAGAAAAGAAGCTATACTGCCGCCTCCAATGCTCTAGTGAATGGCTGCATAGCCTGTATTTGTAGCTGGTTACTTGTGATTTATATTCTTGATGTCGGATAAACAAGCTGCAGTTATCTATCGGCGAGTGCCTAGATCGGCGAATGGCTTCGCGATCATGAAGAAACAACACTTGTCTTCTTTCGTAGCTGGTCAAGGTACTTTAGTTCCATGTGTTTTCATGTGTTTTTCGACAAACTTTCAAACAAGCTCTTGTGGCTTTTTTATTAATTTTGTTTTTGTCTTTTTTCTTTCGTTGAAATTGCATTTCTAGTATTCTAAGAAATGAATTAAAACGATTTGCTTCGGGCGCCGTTCTATCCTTCGCGAAAAAAAATCTCAGCTAGCTTCCAATTTTAAACTGACGCGTACACCGACCATATATGGAGAACATGGTATATTTAAGCAATAGACCACACTTTCTATGGGTTTACCGGCGTGATAACCCACGCGAGATGTTGGGAGAACACGAGAAAAGCTTGTAAATCACGAGCCGAAGGCGAGTGATTTACAAGCTTTTCGAGTGTTCTCCCAACATCCCAAGTGGGTTATCACGCCGGTAAACCCATAGAAAGTGTGGCCTATTGCTTTTATAAAATAACTTTTAGTAGAATGGAGTCTTTTAGGTAAAAAAATATGCTTTAGTACCGTGATCAAGTCATGTCTTCTCTCTAAAGTCATCATAAGCCAATCATGACTCACGATTTAATAGCGCTGAACTTTCTCAAAAACTCAGTTCAGTCAAACAACAAACAACAGCACTTCAAAACACGAGTTTTTGCGCTCATTACATGATAACTTATGAAAGCTGTTTTACAGGAAAAGTGAACACATATTCATGCGAACGTACAATGAAAGAATACGTTCATGGTTTGTTTACTACAGAAGTAGAAATTAACTGAACATCAGACTGTACGCAGCTGTATTTTGTTGAGTCTATCCGTAAAAATTTCGTGCTTACAGACGGAACTGGCAGTTATTGTAATGGAGGACTTCATTCACTTTTTACAAGCCGCAGTGGTTTAAGAACTGTTTTCTGGACTTTATTATGATCAAGAAATGCTGCGGTAACGACGTGGCTGCATTTGCGAAGTTGTCGCATGTAACTTTATATGAACGTACAGCGACCGATGGAAATATGTCAGTGGTGAAGAAAGGTTTCTTTGCCATAGCCACATGTTGGCGCTAATATTTGTCGATTTGTGAAGTCAGGTGGTTTGAGGTACGTTATGGCATCGATATCACCGAATAATTTGTGCAAATGTTGGAAAAAACCAGCCCGAAACTCTGACATCTTTCATCATCGTTGGCAGCTTGTTTACAACCTACAGCCGCCGATTTTGTACCATATCTTGATCAGATATCTCTTTTTGGAACAATTTCTTTCATTAAGGAATTTAATTTTGACCTAAAATAAATCAAAAATGCTAAAACTATCCGTTTTGTTGCTGGTTGGCACATGGTTAAGTTTTCCTGGAGACTTTCTACACCAGAAATTCACACAGTTGTTGTCTTTCGCGATTTGGAATCGTCGTGAATGTAAATTGCTTTCCAGCTTTGTACTTTATAACTTCTAAAGCTATGGCAGTCGCGATTGTGACCCTCAGTAATAAAATGTGGAAACCAACGCTTTTAATATTAAGAAGAGCTA